ATTAACTTCTAGAAAGTTCCACGATTGCTGCGCTGTGATTGGTCGAAATTTTATTTAATGTTTAAAGTCGTTTATATCAACTTATTATTAAAACGATACTTTATACAAATATATTACGAGTTGTAAACATACTGTAAAACTATATTAAAACACAATTTGTTCGATTTTGTCGCTAATTTCACTTTTTAAAACACTTTAATATTCTTTAATCACTTTTTGCTTAAAGTCTTTAAAACCGTCGCGAACACTTTTATTTACGATTTTTAGCGAGAATATGGCTTCTTTTGTTATTATTTTGTGTGGATACTAATTTTTATGAAGTTATAGCTAAATAAAGCTGGTCCATGCAAGGGTAAGATCGCTGTAGGCCGAGATCCGATGTTTCCCCTCGTGAGTGAAGATCGGATGAATATTATTCGATCTTTGCCTGTTACAAATATGGCAGTGGTTGTTAAACTTTCATTGGTCGTGTATATTTTTTCGTTGATTACTCAAGTGACTATGGGACTCAGTCTCGTTAGCAAGTCTGTATATTTAAAAGTAATAAAACAATACGATGGTTTTATTACTTTTAAGTACACATTAAAATACATTTTTTTTATAGGATAAGGGTGACAAAGGAGCACGCAGTCCACCTGATGTTAAGTGATTGCTGCGGCCCATAGACATCTATATCTATCCTCTATTACAAATCAAAATGTAATTTATAATAATTATTTAAAAAATAATTTATAATAATAAATGCCGCTTTGTTAAACTATTTATATCTTCCTTAACTCCTGCATTATCCCAGGGCATTTCGCCAGTCCTTACTGTTATTTTTTTTCCCATATAAAATCAAATTCATCCGATCTTTCTCTTATATTAAGTAATTCCATCTTATGTCATAACAAAGTTTGAGAAACATAAAATTACAATTTCTTCATATCAGGGATAAGATCGGATGGCAAGAAACAAAAAAAGAGAAAATCGTTTGGAACATTTATGTTTCTAGTAATTTATAGATCATATTGAAATATGTTTTTTAGCGTTAAAGATAGGACAAATCTCTTTTATAAACTTTTTTCTCTAAGCAGTAGAAGTGGTTTTAAATTTAAGTCCGGTCTTACCCCTTAATGGCCAATTTTTCATTATGCATATAAAAAAGTATGTCTAGTTTTCGCACACCTTTAATGCAGAAACCGTTGAGTTTACACAAGCAAAAGATTCTCAGAGCTAAACTACGTTTAACGATTAACGGTTTGCTCCATGTTCCATAAATCTGACGTATACGAATGTCGAGAAATTAAAGTTTTTGGCAGACTCTTCCAACTATTCGAAAATCCGTCCGGTATTACCCCAACGTACCTTACATAAACGTTCTTACAGAACAGTATAAAGATTTCTGAAGAACTTCGTTCGACACGTAGCACTAAATTTTATCTAAGTGCTTCGACCAAAAAATGAAGAAGTCCGTTGTATGATTGTATCGTTGTGTTGAGCGTTAGAAACCGATTTTACTATCCCACAGCTTCTCCAGCTGTCCTTGACGTTTTGTCGTTGTTGTTACTGAATTCATTTTCCCTATATATTCAATGTATCCTTTATCAAATCACATAAGTATATTATGTTGGAAAAACGACATTTTTGTACTTTACTACTGTTCCAAAATGAGGTTTCTCTAACCGAAGAATATGCAGGAAGACAAACAACTCCCACCAAACTCATTCGATATATGAAAAATCATTTTAGGTAAATAATAATGACATTCGTTTACGCGCAGCTTACGGCGACTACACAGTATGGGTTATGATATCCTGGTAAAAGGTTTGATATTCGTAAAGTCCACCCACTGACTCCATTCCAGGTTATTTTTAGATATTATTATTTCTTTTTAAATAAAGGTTAATTTTACGTAAAAAACAAGCGCCTGAATTGGGCGATTTTCGAGTTTTCGCAATTTTATCAAAAATCAAATTCAAAATTCTCAGACAATTACGGCTTTAGGAGCTTTAGTTTCTAAGAAACCTTTCCCATAATGCATCAATCATATAAAAAACAAATCGATTTGCCCCCAGCGGACCGACCCCATCCTCGCAAGACCGGATTTTTTGACGGACACTCAGGGACAAACTGCTGGGTTTAACCAGGGATTCATAAAAGCAGCGAAATACAAATTGCATTCCAAGCCGCGAAAGCGATTTGTGGCACCTTTGTTTAAAAATATCTAATTTGAGTTAAGTTTTTGTGATTTAAAAAGCGCCATCTATACGTATAACTTTGAAACATAATAATTGTTAACTTACGAGGGTACGATTAGCTAGCTAGGTGGTGATAATAGATGGCATTATATTCTTTTGGTAGAACAATATTAATTGAACTTTGAAACAAATGCTCTAAAGTGGATGGTACGAAATTAGGTTTCTCACACAATGAACTTCGTCCATGCCTTATAAATAAATTCTTGAAACATTTATAAATTTTAAAAAACGGAAATTGGTGGTGTTCGCGCACACTTTTCGTTCGATAAACTGAAAGGAACAACCGTCAATCGAAAACATAACGAACATTGTACTGGGAGTTCATAGCCAATAAACATCAATCTCAGCATTCGTGTAGAATCTCCTAGTTAGTCTGTGATCTCAGCCCACTCCATGCTCTGCACAGTGCTGCATGCGCTTCAAATTCAAACTACCTAATTTCTTAGGCTGTGGTTATTTATTAATTTATTCCATGACTGGCTTTACTTTCCGTTATCTTTAATATTTATGCGCTTTATACACTTACACGTCACATGCTGTAGAAATGCAACCGACGCGACGTCACAAATTCATAAGTCAAAAAATTTTATAATATTAAAAGTCCTCTGTGATTTGCATGAAAATGACCATACATATATACAACGTGTAACGAAAACCCTGTGGTTTCCGTTAAGTGTGTATATAACATTAAAAAAAATATTTTAATAAAAAATAATAATATGCGAATTGTATGTGGTTTTATTACCTCTGCATTATTCGGAGAATAAGAGGATTGTGAAAGACCCCCCTTATCGCTGCTCGTGTCAGTTAGAGGTAATAAAACCACATACAATTTGCAAATTAATTTTTTTTAATTATCAAGTTTTTTGAAATAAGTTATCTTTACGTTTGAATACTGACTCTGAAAGAACCACACAGGGTTTTAGTTACACGTTGTATATATATATATATATATATATATATATATATATATATATATATATATATATATATATAACCCGCTTTTTAGAGTTTCGTAGTTTTGTTCGTATAAAAAAAAGGGCAGGTGAGTTGAAACAGGTTGAAAGAACATGATGTATGTGTTGAATTGACGTAGTTTCGTCATTTTTTAATAACATAGACCGCTATTTTTGTTTCATCAAAATCTCTTTCGATAAACAAAGAGATTTAAATATATAGGTATGCCTACTAATACTTAAATGTCTTTGTCGATAAAGAATCGATGGTGCACCGCATGCGGGTATTATTATTTATTCTGTGATGTGGGTATGGTTTATGGACTTGGAGAAATTAATAATATAACTTTTATTGTGGTTTGGTTGTGTTATCCATTCAAAGTTCCCTCCAATTTTAGTAAGTAGAACGAACCGAAGTAAAATGACATCCACGTCAATCGAAAACTTAACGAACTCTGTACTAGGAGCCCATAACCACCAAAAAGTTAGAAAATTTAATTCACGCGGCCTCATGGCCTACACTCCCTGTTATCTGCACAGTGGACATAAAAATGTACGTACAATGTGTGTTGTAAAGAAATTTTCTATAAAAAGTTGTAGAAATCAAGAATGAACATTTTTTTCTTGTTTAACGTTTAAAGCAATACAAAGTCGATTCAAAATAATAAGGGCTTATCTCAGGACTTCAAATTATTTAAAGTAGAGTACGATTTTATGTTTGAAAATAAAAACGCGCCATCTAGATATATTACTTGAAAACAAAACATATACCACGCTATGATCAAGCTAGAAAAAAAGTTGGCATTATCTTTTTTTGGCAGATTGGCAGAATAATCGCCATGGTATTAAAACTTGCCAGTAACATTGTAGTGGATACTACCTACTAGATACTTATAGCATAATATATTATTAATATGTACTGCCTACGTAGTACCTATTACATAAATGGCTTATCATAATCACAATACACTGAACAGAGGTCAATCTATTTTCTCCAAAATAAATAAAAAATGCAGTTACCACCCGCTTCCCAGGCGTGGCAACTATGGCAAAAATCCTCCAATCTATGGGGGAGGCCTATGTTCAGCAGTAGACTTTTAACGGTAACGGTATATAGCGCATAATTGTGACAAACAAGCACATTAGATATTTTTGCAGTCTCCTCGTCAATGTCAGGAAACTCATTTTCAGATCTGGTAACCCTAGATGTAGATCTCTATGGGATTTAGCAATAAGGAAACCACTTACCATCAGGTGGACTGTATGCTCGCTTGTCACCCTTATCCTATATAAAAAAGTGCGTAAGTATCTATACTGTAAGGTCTTTTCAGTAAGCATATTACAAAGAATATTTGAAGTCTTTCAAGAAATACGACCAATGACGCATTCTTGGATAGAGGTAGACTTTTGTCTGAATGAAGCAGGCAGTAGGTTAAAATTACTGATACCTAAAGTAACATACAGTAATAAAAACAAAATTAATTTCACGAATACACTTTATTATAATGGTTATTATATAATATCGTACACAGTACATAAAATATTTATTACTTATGCAAACATGTATACCTTATTAAAATCACACGTTGATATGTTGAACCCGTTGTTATCAAACTCTAACATTCTGACATGTTACTTATTATTCGCGTAATTTTAATCATTAGAAAATAGACATTAAAAGTTTTAAAAAAGAAAAAACGAACGAAACCCATACTGATAATGCGGGCATCCACGACTTTTTTGCCACCAGGGCGGCGCCACTTGGTGTGTAGTGAGGTAAAATATTTGACAGATTTCAATGAGCCTATTCGTAATATGGTGACATAAATGATTTACTATGATGGTTCCTCAACAACTCCGCCTCCATTTGGTCTAATGCCAACGCAGGGTCATTGTTTTTTATTAAATCATTATTTGCCATATTATACTGCTTTACAAGACTTAATACGTTGTTAATATCGAAATAGTCAAAATCGTTTTGCATTTCATTATTGTAGCCGAAGTTATATTTCTTAGGTCCGTTCCTCATGTGAGCTGGTATCTCTTTAGTCCCGTGAATCACTAGGTTAAATGGTCCAAACGTACCCGTATTTTTTTCATTTGTCTGAAAAAAATCATCATACAATCAATTTCGTATGTTACGATTCCAATCTGTAAATTATTATCTATACGTAGAAATATAATTTAAAATTAAAAATTTTATACAACCGACTTCAATATAAATTATTAAGAATAACTCAAAAACTATTTGTCAGACCGTAACCAAATTATATGGGACCACATGTGAAGCACCATTTTGCAGATAAAAAAAGAATTATCTAAATCGGTTCACCCAGTAAAAAGTTATGAGGTAACACACTTAAAAAAACATACAGTCGAATTGAGTCGAGTTACCGTCTCCTTTTTGAAGTCGATAGAAAATTGAAATGCCTGTTTGTAATATCGAAAGAACTGCTTTTTATTTGCATGACATTATGACAAGAATAACCAAGAATGGTTATTCTTATTCTTTTTGAATTTTTGTCTGTCTGCCTGTGTGTCCAATCTAATCTAAGGAATGGCTAAAGAGATTGCAGTAAAACTTCACGAACAAATTTATACAAATAAATAAAATTGAAGTGTCTGTTTGTAATGTTAAAATAGCTTTTTACTAAATGCATATGAATGTATATACGGTATTTATAACAAAAACACAATTTTTAAAATTTTGATCTGTCTGTCTGTCAGTCCGTCTGTCAATCTGTCTGTCTGTCTGTCTGTCTGTTTGTTCCAGCTAATCTCCGAAACGGCTGGACCGATTTCGACAGGACTTTCACTGGCGGATAGCTGATGTTCTAAGGAGTAACTTAGGCTACTTATATTGGAGAAAAAGAATTAGGGTTCTGAGCAATATAATTAAAACCCTAAATTACACGCGGGCGAAATCGCGGGGAACAGCTAGTACCTATATATAGAGTAATGCCAGGGCAGAGTGGTAAAAGCTTATTTGGTATAGATTAAAATTTACCGTATCCTTTACGATCACTCGCCAAATACCATTTGCGTTCTCGCCCCAAGTGGCCACAGAGGTCAGCGGCCAGTTAACAAAACCGGCAGTCGAAGTGTCCCTTGGTCGTGCGCTAAGAACTTGCACGTTCGTACCTTTAAGGAAGTTGACGATTAATAACAGGAAATAATGTACAAATTACGAACTAAATACCGACCGTGAAGTGACTATATTGTCCCGTAGGTGTCGTAGGAGACGACAGAAGAAAGCAAACTAGGAGCAGCGTCTTTCTAATAACAACTATAGCGTGATCGCGGAGCAGGAAAAATTTCATATTATTCCAATTCATATAAATGTGAACTTAAAAACTTGAGAATAAACTCAGTTTTCGAATCACAAATACTGTTCAAAAGGTCCTAAAACTTCTTGTACTATTATTATATAATTCTGTGCTAAAACCATGGCTAAAACTATCTTAGTTGCAATAGAAATAAAACTTTGTATAATGGAAATTAAGTTTAAAAATGCAAAGCAATATAAAAATTCCTGCTCCGCGACTGTCCTTTAGAAAAAACTGCGCTTGCTAACCCGCTTGCCGAGCGTTCCAACTATGGTAAGGCCTAAGGTCAGTAATGGACTTTGATGAGCTGCAATTAGCTTGCTTATGTATACTCTAAGGCTGCAATGGACTTTGATAATGATGGAGTTTTTTTTGCGGGAACTTGACCGGTGACGGATTGCTGCTCCGGTATTATTGTTTAAATAATGGTTTGAAGTGGATTTTGATATATAAAAGTGGTGCGATTTTGTGTATTAAATGTCTGCGCATGTGAACTATTAGTGGAAACGGTAAAACAAGTGCTCTCATGGGGATGTAATTCTCAAAATAAGGTGTATGTCCGCTTAGGCGCCTTGAGTTACCATCGCCAACTGCCAGCTGTCTGCTGGCTCAAGTTGCCGTCAAAATCTCCCAAGGGCTGCACAATGTGACGCATCAACATATTGTAAAGCAGTGTACTATGAAGGTTAATTATACATTGTAACTTCAAGCTCAGAATGGCTAGAACCCAGAGCCATAAAGCCAGTTATTAAAAAAATTGTTAATGAGGGCTAATAATCTTCCACTCACCAGATGTCGGTAGTTGTAAATGAGGTAAAGCTTTTTTGTTACACAATGTCAGTTAATTGAGAAATTAGTTTTAAATAATAATTTATCATTATCTGGAGTATTATATTAATACACTACACAATGCGTCAGTGATTTGAATTTTAATTTTTTGCACTTTTTAACTCTTTTTTTTTATTTTCCTACTTTTAGTTGCATTTATAGTTTGGTTTATTCATTTTTAATCTAATTAATATAAAGTATAACTAATAATACAGAAAGAAACATTAAATTTTACATTTTCCTAAGAAATTATCGTCCCCGCTATGAAATCTGACAAAAATATTGCATCTCATTGTAAAGTGGCGCCGCCATGGTGGCAGATAAGTCGTGGATGCCCTCATTTATTAAATACAGCAAGAAAATGGAAAATTAGCCGGTTCTAAAATATTTATTCAAGAGATATAAGTTTACCTTGTGGTGATATTAGATATATTTCTAAAGCACCTCGTCGACTATATTTTACGTTTATAATCAATTCCACATGTTCAATGTAATTCACGGTGCAGTTTTCAACATTCACTGTAATATCCAAATTTTCTTTGGAAGATATGCGGCTATCTTGATCCTTATAACTAGAAAAAAAATATAATTTTAAAGTTAATTCATAAAGGTGGGACAACTCATGAAGGATAAATAGATGTTGCTCAATCTAATAATTACTTTGTGTCTCATTTAAAGTGGACCATTGTATGTTCTTATGAGAAATAAAAGACATAAAACCGAATATAATAAAGTAATTGGTATAGTGCGACCTTGAGCTGGCGGACGTTGTTTTTCCCTTTTCGGTAGATGGCGCGACGAATTTCACTCCGAAATTACTCGGGATTTTTAGTTTCATTATATTATGAAATTTATGAATAATTAAACTACAGCGCCACCTAAAACATCAATGACGATTTCTATTTGGAACAATACTACTAAAATAATCGCTTGATGTTTCGTATAATTTTGAAATCAATCTTAAAAATTACAATCAAATTTAACTGGTAAAGTTTACAAAGTAATATCAATTATCAACTGGTCATAATTCAATCATAGTCAGTCATATTTAATGATCTACACACTACTCAACATACGACTCGTGACACCGAGTCGTATGTTGTGTTAGTTACATCCATGTTACATCGATGTTACGATGTTGATATGACTGTACATATAGGAAAACTGACATTGATGATTACCGAACGATCACCCCTGGTGAATAAAGTTTTTGCGGTAACTTGATCGCGGAATTCAAATAAAGTGGGTTTTTAGTACGTAAAAGTGATGCTAATCTTTTTGCTATAGTTGTTATTGCTACCTCCGAGCTTAGAGTAATTAGTTACATACTCCGAGTGTGATAAATATTTTGTCCCATTAGAATTTAGAATTAAGTCGTCAAGAAGTAAGGAACTGGTTATGTTGTCGTCAAATAACTGAGCTGAGAATATCGCTGCTGATCGCTGCCTGCCCATAAATAGTCATTGCGGAATGCGAATGAACGAACAAACTGCAAAAGTCTTTTCTTTCTTTATCTTTATTATGTACGAAAAATTAATTAATTAGGGTCATAGGGTTTTATACAAAAGGTGGTTTTATAAAACAGGTGGTGTGGTTGTTGGTTTGCCACGGAAACAAAACTTTTCGACGACATCCTACTCGATACTATCTACTAGGCTAACATAAACATTAAATAGGAAAATGGAAGGAACTAAAACCAAAGACTAAAAAAACTAGGTTTTTTTTTAAGTTCGCTTTCGCATTGTGACCGATGTGCCACACTATGCTTCTTGCTACTAGGATGTCATGACTATGCAGTGACAAAAAACCACCACGGACTGAACGGACGTAGTCTCCCTTCCACATTGAGTAAGTAAGGAAACCGAAATCGCTCGTCGGTCGTTGGTCGAGATTGTGAGGAGAAATCGAAGACGAAGCGACGACGAATCAAATTTATAACAAAAACTGAATCGAAATATAAACGAATCGTGCACCAGGACAATATGAACGTAGCAGACGATAGTAAAACGAATTTACTTACTTATATATACATACTCTCACTTTTTTTTAATAATAAAACTTTTCCGCTATCCGCATCGGTGGTCTGGTTGGTCCTGTCTGTCTTCGGATTCGTCGCGCAAAATAAGACTGCTTGGATACTAGGCTACCATACTCACGGTAGAGCTTCAATTCGGCAAGATGTTTTGTCCGGAACGGTTGTCCAGTTGAGCGCCGCCTTCACTAGAGCGCCGGCGTTTAGAAGACCGAATCCAAATCGTATGTCAAAACGTAATCCGACACTAAAATAATTTAAAACAAATAATAAGTTGAAAGTGAAAAATGGTCACCATTATTGGGTTTAGTTTAAAGTGACAACGTCTAAGATTAAAAAAATGTTTTACAACCTACTAATGTTTCATGTTTTTAGAATTTCTTGTAATCAGCGATAAATATAAAGAAATTGTTGCATCTACATCTGTCTATTACAGTTTCCGAGAAACAATATTTTTTCTCAAGGCATAACATTTTTCAACATTATGCTCGTTGCTGGCCAAAGAAGTAGCACAGAATAAATAATAGTAGGTATTTCGTAGAATTATTTAGTCTGTGGTAGAATAGAAGTAGCAAGGACTAAGGGCATCGTAAAGGTGCCGGCGTAAATCTGGGGCGGATGGTTTATTAGCATGGATTTCAACAAAACCATGTTATTCATGATTAAAGAATAATATACTTACCTACGTAACAATATCTCAATGTTGATCTTTTTTCTACCGACTTCGAAAAGAAGACGGTGCTCAATTCGACTGTATGTTTTTTTATGTTACCTCATAACTTTTTTCTGGGAGAACCGATTTCGATGATACTTTTTTTATAGAATAGAATTGTATAAACAAAATCATTGTTAAGTGAAATTATGTTTAAAAAAAAGTCCCGCTGGGTTTCTTGCTGGTTCTTCCCAGGACAGAGGTATTTTCCGAACCAGTGGTAAATAAAATAATGACTTTCAATAAGTATTATATAATAATCCATATTGAATAAAAATCATTCTATTCTATTCTATCTGAAAGCTGGTGCTTCTCGTGTGGTCCCATATAAATTTGATCACGGTCTGACTAATAGCTTTTGAGTTATTCCTCATCATCATCATCATTACAGCCCCTCACAAGTCCACTGCTGAACATAGGCTTCCCCCAAGGAATGCCACAAAGCACGGTCCTGAGCCACCTGAATCCATCGACTTCCTACATGTCTTACCAGGTCGTCACTCCATTTAGTGGGATGACGCCCTACACTTCGTCCGCCGGTACGAGGCCGCCACTCGAGAACCTTTTTTCCTCATCGATTGTCGGTTCTTCGAGCTATAGGGCCGGTCCATTTCCACTTTAGCTTACTAATCCGTTGGGCTATGTCGGTCACTCTGGTTCTACTTCATTTCCAAGTTTATCACGCAGAGAAACTCCGAGCATAGCCCTCTCCATAGCTAATTAAAAATTAAAAAATTAAAAATTTTGTACTGCCGACTTCAATATAAGTTATTAAGAATAACTCAAAAACTTTTGGTCTGACCTTGATCAAATTGATTTGAAGTACCAGCTTTCAAATAAAAAAAGATTCATCGAAATCGGTTCACCCAGTAAAAAGTTATGAGGTAACACACATAAAAAAAACACAGTCGATTGAGAACCGTCTCCTTTTTGGAAGTCGGCAGAAAATTTCATCAAAACCGGCCATTCTCGGGTTTTTGCGAAATTAACGGACAACAATTGATTTTTATATACAGAGATATCACAAAAAATATTCAACTTACCTATTACTTTCTCTTTAGTCCTTACCCACAATATAATTTTTTTTTAATTTTATTACGTGGTAGAACCACGCTGCAGCTATATTAGTAGTATAGTTGTAGCACGAATGGGTCGGCTCGACCGGGGAAGGACCACGCTCTCACAGAATACCAGCGTAAAATAGCAGCTTAACACTGCCGTGTTTCGCATGATGAGTGTAGAGAACCGGAGACCCTTTTTACTGGAAAAGAGGCAATCCATCTTAGTCCTCACGGCTGACAACGCATCTGCATTTTGATTCGCAAACGAGGGATAGATGTAGATGTCTACGGGCCACAGCAACCACTTACCATCAGGTGGACTGTGTGCTCGTTTGTCACCATATCCTATAAAGAAAACCTAATAGTTTGTGTCAAAGTACGGTCATGAGCCACCAGCATTCATCGACTGTTTTATCAAGTCCTCACTCCATTTAGTACTAACCTAACATATTATCATATTATCTTATTCCTTACCTATTAATTTGCCATCCAGGATTGTGAGATAAAGGCGCGTATTCTGACGTCCATACTATCAAATGTTGTACATCCCTCCATGTCAAGTTGGGGCTACAAAAATCACGGCATTAGTGACGGTCTAACTGACTGATTATTGATCAGTTAGATATAATGGTTGTTTGAACTTTGGGCAAAGAAGTGCAAACATTTTAAGCTCTTTTAGGTGTTGTGACTGTCCATGGGTAGCCGGGTGTCCTAACCTACCCGTGGACTCGTGACTCCTCTGTAATTTACTAGTACTAAAATATCATATGCACATATAGATGTTTTAGTACACTGAGTTATATGTACTACGTACTAGAGAAGCCATTCCGAACATTGACGATGCTCAACTGAACTGTACTGCATTCCGTACAAACTAAATATTGCGTAAATTGAAGATTTGTGAATTCCATAACATAATTATTATTACATTTTATTTAGAAATATGTTTGTTTAGATTAAAATAAGATATTTTATATTAAATTCTTATATTTATTTTATATTAATATCTTATTTTATACCAAATCAAAGTCTTCGCGCATGCGCGGAAATAGTAGTCGCGGGAAGAGTAGTAAGATATAGAGTAGGACACAATTTTTGTTTGGAATGGCTTCTCTAGTACGTAGTACATTTAACTCAATGTTTTAGTATTTGATAGTTATCGCTGTAGTTGCCAACGTAGTGATTATATTCTCTTTGGTTGAAAATAGCGAGTACCAACATCATCATTTTATATGTCAGTTACCATAGAGTAAAAACCTAAGCAAATATTTTAGATTTAAATTTCTGTGTTCGTGAAATGATTGATTAAAAATGTTTTATCTATAATAAACCACAAGGTTTTTTATAGATAAAACATTTTTTTTGTGTACTTTGTACAAGTTACATTGTGCTCAAGTAATTCACTATACACCGATCACCGGCTACACTGTAAAAATATAAAAGCAAAACTTGAAAATTTCCGCCAAATGATGTTTGAGATTAAAATGAGTAATCGTTTCCAGTGATATCATCTAGTACGGTGAATCATTTTTGCATCCACTTAATTATATCAAACACTAGCAATGCGCCCCGGCTTCACACGTGTAATTTCTGGATCTCGATTCTCGACCTACCAAATCAGGGTTCAATGTGAATCTAAACTATCTAAGGACCCACTCATACACACACACAAAAAATTTCATCAAAGTAGGTCCAACCATATTCTAGTTTTTGCGAGACTAACGGACAGCAATTGATTTTTATATATAGAGATTAAATAATAATAAAAATACTTACTTAGCATGTAGAACAAGCGCGATAATTCCAGCCGCTAGCGGCGCTGCGGCTGAAGTGCCTGTATGCTTCAAAGTGCATGTATCGTTTATATCTGTTGTCGCCTGAAAAAGAAAAATAAAAACATGTATATAATAAAAGATTATCTGTGAAAAAGCATACACTTACGAACAGTTCACTTGATCGTAAGTGTATTCTGTGGCACATATACATCTACATTTTTATCCTCGATGAAAAATCAAAATGCAGATGCGTTGTCACCCGTGAGGATTACGATGGAATGCCTCGTTTTCAGTAAAAAGGGTCTTCGGTTCTCTACACCCACCATACGAAACACAGCAGCATTAAGCTGCTATTTTACGCTGGTATTCTGCAAGAGCGTGGTCCTACCCCGGTCGAGCCGACTCATTCGTGCTACAACCTTAATGTAGCTGCAGCATGGCTCTACCACATGAGTAAAGGAATACTCAGTGGATCTAATACGTAAATTATATGAACAAACGCCAGCTAAATGTTAGCTTTAATATTATCAAATAATGTCAGTTACTTGACTCCACGGGGCCAGTAATTCTTGCATTCGATACTTAATGCACGCTTTTACAACAAAATATACAGTCTGTATAACTCTATGACCAAGTTTAAAGTTTTTATTTAAAATAGTAAAAAAAAAAGAAAGACAAAATAGTCAACTATAATTAAATAGATTGATAAACTGCTAGTAATAAAGTAGGGTTACATCCATTGAAGTAAAATGTACTTATACATACTTCAATGTTGGGGACATGCTACTGTGTTTTAGACACAGTAGCATGTCCCCAACATTGAAGTTCGAAGAATCGTTTTTATAACGAATGCATTTTAAATGACTGAACACACGAATTTTAAATCGTAATTAAGAGAAAATGCCGATGGTCCTTTCTCCTTACAAGCGCTCTCCCCTGTTTTCTCTCTGGTTTATGACCTTATAGCAATGAGTTTTTATAGTAAAATAAATATCAACCTCTTCTATGTCCCTATGTGTTCCTTTTTGATGATCTTTATAAGCACTAGAACGCTTACAAAATCCTCAAAATTGTCTATTTAGACCGCTGTAAACAGAGGCCTAGTGTTCAAATTTGATAACTAATACTGAAAAAAGGAAAACATAGGAATATAGTATATCCTTCTTATTTAATTTATGAAATATCTTTTAAATTTGTCCAATATTGGAGAAGGAAATGGTAGAGAGCCAAATCTCGAATGATGCCTTTTTACTTGGCTATTCAGTCGGATCTGCAGTTATCGGACGCCGAGCGTTCGTAGAGCGATGGAGATAATTTCTTCAATTTTCAAGTCTCTCAACACGCATTTCCTCTTAATACTTTGTTAAAAGGCTCGCCGGATTTCTTGCTAGATCTTTCCACTTATGTACTCCTAATGGCCAAAATTAATATCCTATCTATCCCCAATTTACCCTACTAGAGATAGATGTTTGACATAAGCTCCATACATTTTATTTCATGTCAATTAACACGGTCATGTCATTCAGAAGTTACACCATTAACGATTGTATTAGGGGCTGAGATTTACGAGTAAATCTCAGATTACGGTGTGTTTATATGATATTATAAATACCGGGCAAACTTACAGCGTACGGATTATTCACTGGCCTGATTGCCTGCGTGAAGGACTTTTTGAGTGAACGGTCTCTCCGGGTCGTCGTCGATGGCTGCTCGTCCGGTACTGTAGCGACTAACGCCAGTGTTCTTCAGAGGTCCGTTCTCTCCGCAACTATCTTCCTGCTTCATATTAATGATCTGCTTATTCCCGGTATATATGGGTATGCAGACCACAGTTGTGGAGATATACCAACCAATTGCCCGGGCCAGTCGGGATCAAATCCAGTCAGAAAGAGAGGCTATGGTTGAGGGTGTGAGTCTCACACTACAGGCAGTCTCCGAATGGGGCGATGCCAATCTCGTGAGATTTAACCCCTCAAAAACACAAGCGTGTCTTTTCACCGCTAAAAGGAGCCCGCTCACCTTGGCTCCTACTTTCCGGAATGTATCCTTGGAGTACATTGACCGCCTTCAGTTGTTAGGGGTTGAATTTTCTAACTATGGGCGGTTCATTGAGTCCAGAGCCAAAGCAGCCGCAAGGAAACTTGGTGTCCTTGTAAATATGCGGCGATACTTCACGCCGAGGCGGCAGCTTACCTTATATAAAGCGCAAGTCCGGTCGTGCATGGAGTACCTACTGCTGTCACATATGGGCTGGTGATGCAAAATGCCACCTGGCAGCGTTGGACTCAGTGGAGAGACGTGCTAAGAGGCTCATTGGTGACGTTAATTTGGTTGAAACCAATCTTGTCAGCCTCGAGCACAGGCGCAGAGTAGCCAGTCTCTTGGTATTCTATAGGATGCATTTCGGTGAGTGTGCGCAGGAATCACACGCTTTAATTCCTCCCTCTCCTTTCCACCATCGGACAACCAGGCGGTCGGCGGGTCTTCATCCCTTTGTTGTCGATAGTCCACGCATTAGAACCAAACGGTTTGCTTCGTATTTTGTAATACGTACAGCAAAGGAGTGGAATAATTTGCCGGCGTCTATCTCTCCGTCCGAATACAATCTGGGCGTCTTCAAGGCAAGAGTGAATAGGCTTTTGTTACGCTAAGACAGTGCGATTTACCGTCTAAGAGTGCATCACCACTAACCACCAGGTGCTATTGTGGTCAAGCACTGGCTTATAATAAGTAAAAAAAAAAAATAGTAAATTTAAATTTAAAGTAGGTATATACCTACATTTTAACTTCTCTACTTTAATACATTTTTTTCTACATGTCCGGAGAAAGTAAAATATCATAAACAAATTCTTAAGTATTAAATAAATTTGTTAAAGAGTAACAAACAACATAAGCAATATAAAATAAAATAAAAAAAAAATGTGTGCTGTTCACACGTGATATAAATGAAAACTTCAAATGAAATTAAATATAAAAGAAAAATATTTCACGGCAAATGATTTCATTTCCTTTTTCCAATAACATAAGTGCGGCACAAAAATATGAGATGAAAGTTTAATTTTATAGCAAATAAATGTTACAATTCTTATTTTTAGACTTTTTTTTATTTTAACTTTATTTATAAAAAAAAATATTATTGAACATATTTTTTCAAAAGACAAATAAAAAGACAGTAGTCAAATGGCGGATTCGAAGCCACAACCTTTTTAGTTCGCAGTCTACATATTCTATCTCATTCTCTTGCAGGCTAAATCCTATATATAGATGGTAAATGTTTGTCCCTTTTTAGATCGCTTCGATTTTCAAATCACAATAATATACAGAAGTTCAATTCAAAAGTAGGTATTAACAACTATGAGTACTTACTATTTTCTGATCCTTATAGGCGCCAGAGGAGTACGCCGTTGCTAACGTAGAAGAGCAGATTTCACCATACCAAGGAAACAGACCTTGTTGAGAGGCGCTCCCTATTGAAATTGTATAAATACTAGAAGAATACCTAAAACAAGGAAGGTAAGTGATATAAGTTACTGTTACCGTTACAGTCTATTACTGTTCACTGCTGAAGATAGTTTTCACCCATAGATTGCCTTTAGGAGGGATATTTGCCACAGTTGCCATGCTTGGCAAGCAGTTTTTTTTCCTTATTAGTCGTTATTAGTAAGACGTATTTGTTTCCATCTGCAACCTCTTACGGCACCACGGGATGATATGGGGTAGTGGATATTCTTACACCACCATTACACGGCATATAGTGATATAATTTATTCAGTATATAAGTGGTAAAATTAAAAATTTTGTAAAACCAACTTCAATATAAATAAAATGACATCATCAATGTGTTTTGAATATTAAGGATAACTCAAAAACTACTAGTCAGATCTAGATAAAAATTTATAAGGAACCACATGAGAGCACCGCTTTCAAATAAAAAAAGAATCATTAAAAACGGTTCACCTAGGAAAAAGTGCTGAGGTAACATTAAAAAAAATCAGTCGAATTGAAAACATTCACCTTTTTTCAAGTCGATTGAAAATAAAGTGGTTTATCCAAATTTATCTGGTTTTTTTTTTTATAGGATAGGATGACAAACGAGCACATAGTCCATCTGATGGTAAGTGATTGCTGTGGCCCATACACATCTACATTTATCCTCGTTTGCGAATCAAAATGCAGATGCGTTGTCACCCGTGAATACTAAGATGGAATGCCTCTTTTCCAGTAAAAAGGGTCTCCGGTTCTCTACACTCACCATACGAATCACAGCAGCGTTAAGCTGCTATTTTACGCTGGTATTCTGTGAGAGCGTGGTCCTTCCCCGGTCGAGCCGACCCATTCGTGCTACAACTATACTACTGTGCATTTGCATCAAACTTTAAAAGATTTACGAAATATTTACCCATCGCAGTTACAATTGTCGTTATGGCCGCCACCATTTCCATTAGCCCAAACATAAATAGAGCCTTTACCATTACGGCCCTGAAACAAAATTATAAAATATTAAATTTTATAATTATTTTTTATAAAAAAGCAAATTTGAAAATCCTTATAAACTTAAATAAAAGAGTTTGGTGTAGGTAACTAAGTCATAGATTGTTTTACATATTATAAGCCAGTGCTTGACTACAATCCTACGTAATGGTGATGAAGTCCTAAATCGCAATATCTTAGCGTATCAAAGGTATTGAGGAATACACAAGTTTTACCTACCTTAGTAACTCCTCGTTTAAATGCTTCAATGGCCAGTCGCCCTGGGCCTTCCACAGTTCGTCCATCGTCATTTGGACCCCATGATGCGCTATATACATCTACTTTATCCCATGCATAGCCTAGAGGAAAAGAGAAGAGGCAACGTACATTATTAACGTACATTATTATTTTCATTTTTTTATAGGATAAGGGTGACGAACGAACACACAGTCCCACTGATGGTAAGTGGTTGCTGTGGCCCATAGACATCTACATTTATCCTCGATTACGAATCAAAATGCAGATGCGTTGTCACCCGTGAGGACTAAGATGGAATGCCTCGTTTCCAGTAAAAAGGGTCTCCGGTTCTCTACACTCACCATACGAAACACAGCAGCATTAAGCTGCTATTTTACGCTGGTATTCTGTGAGAACGTGGTCCTTCCCCGATCGAGCCGACCCATTCGTGTTACAACTATACCAGAAATATAGCTGCAGCATGACTCTACCACGTACTAAAAAAACATTAACCCATTATATATTTATACAGCCCAACCAGATGAGAAAACTATATAGATACCCCATAATAATAATAATACGATATACCGAGAGGTCGACACGGTTCAACCAGAATCGTCTCTTCCAGAGTGATCAGAAGAGGCTATATAAATCATTGGAGCGACCAATGGTACGTGGAACGGGCCAAGCACCGAATCAGGCCGACACTGTCGCATTCTGGCGCGGCCTGTGGTCAGAGCCCGTAAACCACCGCGAGGGCCCTTGGACGGAAGTTGTGGTGAGTCAGTGTGCGAATCTTACGCCCATGGACCCCGTCATTATAACGCCGGACGATGTAGCTGAGGCGGTCCGAAGGGCCCCGAACTGGAAAAATCCGGGGCTCGACGGGCTGCATCACTACTGGCTGAAGGGGTTCGTGATGTGTCACGCTGTGCTCGCCCGACAATTTCAAGAGGCTCTCGACCAAAAGTCGCTCCCGAGCCTCTTCACTACTGGGATCACTCATTTGGTTCCTAAAGACCGGGATACCATAGACCCGAGCAAATACCGCCCCATCACGTGTCTACCCACGATATATAAGACACTAACATCCATTTTGAGCGCGAGAATCACTCGTCACCTGAACTCAAATCAGGTGATGTCGCGCGCTCAAAATGGATGTCGGGGCGGTGGTCGTGGAACCAAGGAACCACTCCTCATTGACGTGGTCATTGGCAAAGTGGTTAAACGCAACCGTCGGAACCTATCCGCCGCCTGGATAGACTACAAAAAGGCATTCGACTCGGTGCCTCATACATGGCTGGAGAGGGTCCTCGAGCTGTACAAGGTTGACTGTACAGTTAGAGACTTCCTTGGGCAGTGTATGGGGCAGTGGAGTACGATCCTTTGTCATCTAGGCGAGCGGATGACGGCTGCGGAGAACCACATAAGGATAAGAAGGGGTATCTTCCAGGGCGATTGTCTGAGTCCAATCTGGTTCTGCCTCTCTCTGAACCCTCTCAGTACCTTACTGGAGGGCTCCGGGAGGGGATTTCAGCTTCGGAGGGGAGGTACAAAAGTGACCCACCTTTTCTATATGGATGATCTCAAGTTATTCGCCTCCAGTCGCTCTCATCTTATGGAATTGCTAAACATCACTTGTGATTTTAGCAATTCTATTAGAATGGAGCTGGCGACGGATAAGTGTGCGGTCCTCCATGTTGAAAGGGGAAGGGTTGCTAACTCTGAGGGCATAGATTTATCTATGCCCATCAACATAAGGACCCTTTCCGAGGCTGAAACATACCGATACCTGGGTATGTCACAGAACGTCGGTGTAGATGAGGCGGGTATGAAACAGTCAGTTTGCGATGTGTTTTATGCACGCTTGACCAAAGTGCTTAACAGCCTTTTGTCCGGTGTGAATAAGACGCACGCATATAATGGTTGGGTCATGCCTGTTCTCATGTATACCTTTGGCATACTTAGGTGGACTCAGACCGAACTAAACGCTCTGGACAGAAAAGTCCGCACTATAATGACGTCCCACAGGATGCATCATCCGAGATCGTCAGTAATGAGGCTGTACTTGCCGCGGAAGCATGGCGGGCGCGGCTTTTTAAGCGCGCTTACCATGCATAATCGCGAAGTGTGCAGCCTCCGTAATTACTTTCTGACGAGGGCGGATGATCCATACTATAGGGACGTTATTTCTTGTGATAAAGGACTGACCCCTCTATCCTTAGCCAACGAGCAATGGCAAGACCCAGCAGTACAGTGCATTTCCGACCGGGAGACCGTATGGAAGGAGAAGGAGCTCCACGGGAGGTTCTACAAGGCTCTACATGAGCCTTTCGTAGACACAGTCGCCTCCCTTCACTGGCTACGTTTCGGTGACCTCTTTGGGGAAACCGAGGGTTTTGTCTGTGCGATACAGGATCAGGTTATTAAGACCAACAATTATCGGAGATACATCCTAAAGGATGGCGCCGTCGACATCTGTCGAGCTTGTCGCCATCCCGGTGAGTCACTTAGGCATGTCATCTCCGGTTGTTCGGCGCTTTCTAACTCTGAGTATTTGCACAGACACAATCTAGTAGCCAGGATTCTACACCAGGAGCTCGCTCTGAAATACGGCCTCGTGGATCGGAAACTGCCGTATTATAAGTACTTGCCGGAAGCCGTGCTCGAAAATGACCGCGCCAGGCTCTACTGGGACCGGGCCATCATCACAGACAGGACTATTCTTGCGAATAAGCCTGATATTGTGCTGATGGACCGGGCACAGTCAAGGATCTTTTTGGTCGACATTACCATTCCTTATGACGAGAACCTCGTGAAAGCCGAAACAGATAAGGTGACAAAATATCTGGACCTGGCTCACGAGGTTACCGGCATGTGGGGTGGTCTGCCGACCGAAATTATTCCTGTGGTCGTTTCTGCGAACGGGTTAATCCCAGTCAGCCTCCCGGGTCATCTGAGGCGACTGGGACTCCGTGACGGACCGCTCCAGGCTCAAATGCAGAAGGCGGTGCTCCTCGATACCGCCCGCATCGTCCGCCGGTTTCTTTCCCTTTCCCCCTAACCCTCGGCCGTCTGGTCTCCCCTGCCGAGGGCTTCCATCTGGTTGGGTTTTTATATATTTATGTATTTTTTATGTATTTATTTTATTTTATTCATATTTATGTATGTTTACCATTTTCATTTACAATTATATATTTATACTGCCCAACCAGATGAGAAAACTTTATAGATACCCCAATAATAATATTAGCAATAAGTGATTTTCTTTCCACGCACATAATAAAAAAAATTTTTTGCAATATATTAAATGTGGATGGAGTGCAACAGTTTTGTGAATCAAACTTAAGTGTGGAGTAGAGAATAGTTATTTATATCTTTATAAAGATAAAAGAGGTTAAATTTACCTATCAAAAGACGTGATTGATGTATGTTTATTTTGTGAAACTACAATTTGTTATACTACAAACCAGGATTTTCTCCTGTATCGCAGGAGCAGTTTACACACATAGATTTCACATGTACAAACATCCAGACCCGGAACAATTATTTGTAGGCCATACAAACACTTGTTCCGTGCGGGAATCGAACCCGCGGCCATTAGCGCTGCAACTCATTGCTAAGCCACTGCGCCACGTAGCCGTCAATTAATTGTCACTAGGTTCTTAAATAATTTTTAGTTATTTTTGTTTTGTTACGCTTAAGAAGTATAACTTCCTACGTGCGTACATAAAAGTACACACATACGATTTTTTTTTCTTTAGAACATCCATAATTACCGTGTTTCAATTCTGCATTCTGAGGCTGCAGCATGGCTCTACCACGTATAATTATATATTTATCTCTTTCTATCATATTTCCTCTTGTTTTTAGTAGGCAATAAATATTTTTCTCGTTTATAACCTCTAAACTTTAAAAAATCACCTTCCGCGACTTTGGCGGGCCCACTCTAAAAAAAGGCTTGTGTGCGTGTGTATATCCGATCATTGTTGTAATTATACATCGATTAGACCAAAATCACTAACAAAATCGTGCCACAGAATACTAATGCTAACCCAAAAGTTTTACTCTAATTTCCTTATATTATTTAGAATAATTTATTCAACGTGGTAGAGCCATGCTGCAGCTATATGTATCTGGTTTAGATGTAGCACGAATGGTTCGGCTCGTCCGGGGAAGGACCACGCTCTCACAGAATACCAGCGTAAAATAGCAGCTTAACGCTGCTGTGTTTCGTACGGTGAATGTAGAGAACCGGAAACTTTTTAATTGGAAACGAGACATTCCATCTTAGTCCTCACGGGTGACAACGGATCTGCATTTTGATTCGTAATCGAGGATGGATGTAGATGTCTATGGGCCACAGCAACCATTTACCATCACGTGGACTGTGTGCTCGTTTGTCCCCATTATCCTATTAAAACATAGATTTTATCACCAGATGGAGTGACGACGACCTGATAATACGTGCAGGAAGACGATGGATGTGGTGGATAAGGACTATGATTTGTGGCGTTCTTTCGGGGAAGCTTATTTTCAACAGTGGATTTGTGAGATGAACGTATAATTGTGTTTCACATAAGCGCCATCTATGGAGTAACTAAATCATTCTTATGATTTTATCCGACATTAAGAATGATAGATGTCGCTTCTGTAAAATAAAGAATACTATAATTATGGTGCCCCGGTACAAACTAACAAAACATAATATTTTGAAAATACAGACGACCTCCCCTCCTCCTTCCTTCCTACCTCACAATTATTTTTTTTATAAAGGCTTTTACGGTGGGTTTTATAGCCCTTCTGAGTCTGACGTTACAATGTATAATTTATCCTTCACACTGCTTCACAATAATATATTGATGTGTCACATTGTGGCCCTTGGGAGATTTTGACGGCAACTTGAGCCAGCAAATCTCAAGGCGCCTAAGCAGACAAACAGACACCTTATCTTCAGAATCACATCATCATCAGAGCACTTGTTTCACCGTTTCCACTAACAGTTCACAGACTGCGCAGACACAAAAATCGCACCACTTTTCCATATCAAATCCACCTCAAACCATTATTTAAACTTTTAAACAATAATACAGGAGCAGCAAACCGCCACCAGTCAAGTACT